TGCGCGTGCATGCATGGATGCCTGCCTGCATGCATGCATGCGTGCATCCTGGGCACCTGCGTGCCTGTTCGTATGCTGCATGCGTGAGCACGGGCTCTGGGGCCACGCGTGCACATTCACACGCGTGCACGTCTGCTTCTCGACGCGACGCCCCCCCCCCCCCGGCGCAGACTTGCATGCCCTCGTTATGAATCCGCATTCATTTGGATAATAATCTTGGTGTGAATATAATAAAAAATAATTCGAATAGCGGACATGTAGCTAGCCTGTAAGGTTTGAAGAGCACCTCACGCACATTATGTCAAAGCCCAAACCTCAGTGCCCACCTGTGTACGGGTTTCTACAGGAATAGACGAGAATCAGAAGGCCTCAGCTGTTAGCCACTCTGGGGCCTGCTTCCCTAGCAAAGACTTGGATGAGTCAGAGAAGACGGAGCACAGAGGACTCCTCCCCCTTTTGTGGCTGGACTTCGGGGAGACAGGCAGACAGGGAGTGCTTCTCCATCTCTTGTCAGTTAACATATTTCACACCTTTAAAAGACCAAGGCTCTAATGAAGGTCAGCTCCCCTGAATTGCGAAATCAATCCCCGTTACAGAGCCGGGATTACAATCCCCCTGCTAAAACGCAGTCGTGCAAAAGAAATAAACTTCCATTCCCTCGAGTAATAAATGTGCACACACACCCCCCTCTCCGTATGCGGCTTCCCTGCCGCTGTTGTCTTGCCATGGGTGGGGAGAGGTTGTGAAAGGAATAGGGGACGGGTCAGGAGACCCGGACCGTTGTCCGGGACTGCCACTAATCAGCCGCGTCACTTTGGACAATTCATCTAATCTCCTTAGGTCTCCGTTTCTAAACAGTAAGGAGATTATCTTTAAAATGGTCTCTAAATTCTGACCTTCTACCCGTGGAGCACCCTTGGTCTCTCAGGGTGGTTTTCCTATTTTTCAATCTGTTCTTCTGCTTCTCAAGGGATCAATTAATCAACAAACATTTATTAAGCACCTACTGTGTTGGGGATCAGTCTCCTCTGTGCATCAAACACTCTGTGACCTTGTGTTTCTGTTGCAGTAGCTTTTGCTCAGATATGGATATGTCAGTAATGAGTGTAAGTAAGCCCTTAGCATGCAGCCTTTCATGCGTGTAAACATGTGAACCCATGGAAATGCAAACATCACAGTTTAAACTGATTGAGACAGGAAGAAGATTGAAAACAAGAGTGGGGGTGGGGAGAATAAATTAAAAGTTACTGGAGCCTAGCAAAGAGGAACCAGTAGCCTACATATCCATCTTCATAATGCATTCTGCAGATTAATGCCAACAACCATCCTTGGTGCGTTGGCTCTCTGGGGTCGAGGGCGGGGGGAAGGGAATGGAAGGAAGAAGGGAGGTGGATAGGAAAACAGAAGAGAGATCAAGAGAGGTGGCAGGAGGAAAATATATACTCAGTCTCCGCCTTCAAGGAGTTTAAAGTATTTCACAAACCAGGCAACAGGGGCTGAGCCTACCAGACCAAGTAATTGCATGTAGTGGATTTGTTAAGATTCTGGATAAAAGGACCATTCACCTTGGGAGCAGAGATGTTCCACTGTATTGGTGACGTTGATAACACCTTCAGAAAATGAGACATAGGTTGGCTCTAGGGAAGATTCCATGGAGATTCTATTAGGACTTGGGATGAGTCAAAAAGAAGGGTCAGAGTTTTAGGGTCAAATACTCCACTTCCCCCTACCCTCTCCTCCTATCACTGCAAAAATGAATAATGGACTTTAGAAGGAAGCACAGATAAGCAGAACAATTTTGGAAATAGTATGTAGAATTTATGTGCTTTAAAAAAAATCAAGCCGTATGAAATGGAAATTCAGAATTTTATATAGAATCAGCTTATGTGTTCTGCTGTCTATGGGAATACTTTTTTCGTATTTAAATTCAGATTAAAGATTTTTTAAAACAAGGAATGAGTGATCAAACAAGTGACAAGGACACACGTGTAGAACCGTGATTGATTGGGTAAATGGGAAGCAGGGGGAGGGGGGCTCCCTCAAAAATATGCTGACGCTCCCTGGCTAACTACATTTCTCATTGTGGAAAGACCCTCTGACTAGCAGACAGAAAATCTGAATTATAGCCCAGATTTCAACACTGGGAAACGTGTGACCTTGGGGAAATGATTTAACCTTCCTGAGTCTGTTTTTGCAGCTATAAAATGGAGATAATTACACCATCCCTAATCTCTGTCACAGAATGGTTGTGTAAAGGTTGAAAGAGAAAGTGCTTTGAAGCATTTGGAGGGAGGGAAGTGTGGATCCTGATGACTGCCATTAACTCATTTCCTTGCTCTTGGCCTCAGACGGCTCCCCAACAGAAAAATTAGAGCTGGGGAAGAGATTGAAGGGGAGGGCAGGACAAACCAGACCTCCAAGGTCTCTTCCAGCGTTGTGATTGATCATAAGGATCATAAATTTTACTGGTAGAAGGGACCTTAGAGGTCATCTGGTTCAACCTCTTCATTTTACAAATCAGGAAACCGAGGCCCATGGCAACTTGCCCGAGGACACACAGGTAACAATATTTCCTACTCTCATGTACATATACTCTGCCCGTCGCCTGGCACCGTGCCAAGCACTCTGGAGCTCAACAGATATTTGTTGACTGTTTCATCAACAACCAGGTGTGTAGGTGATGGAGAGGGCAACTTCCAGGGCCCTTGCTGGGCTTGCTAAGAACCAGGGGTGCCCTCTAGAGTCCTTGCAATATTCTTTGAGTCTACAGTATCAGAGGTTGGTACCTTGAGCCATTCACATGCTCAGCGAGCCCCAGAATCAACCCCCCAACCCAGTCAGCCGCCTGCTACTTACCACAAAGGGATAGACTCTCCCCTGCTCCTCTTCAAAGATACCCCTTAAGTCACACAATCTCAGCTCCCTCATTTGCCAGCCATACTTTGGGACAAGAGGCAAGAGATGCAGAGCTACTGTAGAATATGTGATTACAGCTGTAAGGGCTGGCCTTCAAGGTGGTCTAATTTAACCCACTTCACTCCACATAGCATATCAGTTAGGGGTCAGAATGGCTATGAGGGTTGGACTCGGGGTCAGGAAGACCCAAGTTCAAATTCTACTTCAGATACTAGCTGTGTGACACTGGGCAAATCATTTAACCCTGGGTGCCTCAGTTTCCTCCACTGGGAGCCCCTAGCTCCCAGGGCGGTTGTAAGAGTCAGATGAGAGCACTGTATAAATGCTAGATATGATGATGATGATGATGATGATAAGTCTTACGGATTCTACCTCCATTGCATCTCTCAAATCCACTTCCTCTCCACTTACATCGAGCTAGTCCAGGCCCTCTTGCCGTTGCCTCCTAACTAGTTTCCCTGCTTCCGGTCTCTCCCCTTTTCCCACCCATCCCTCCACAAAGCTGCCAAAATGATTTTTCCTAAAGTTCAGGGTTGATGGTGTTGCTGCTCTGCTCAGTAGACCCCAGTGTCTCCCCGCTGCTTCTAAAAATCAAATGCAAACCCCTTTATTTAGCATTTAGAGACCTTGCGGACTTGTCTCTACCCTTCCAGTTTTATTAACCTGCTTTTCACACTTCAAACAAAGGCCTTCCTGCAGTTCTTTGTTGTTTGGCTTTGAACGTCTTTTACTTAATCTGGGCCCTCCTTACCTTGCTCCCCATCCACGTAACCTCCGATCCAAGGACATTGCTCTTCAGATAAGCTCCTCCATCATCCAGCTGCAGGCATTGTCTCTGGCGGTCCCCCTCTCCTGGACCGCTCTGCTCCTCATTTCCAGCTCCTAGGTTCCCTGGCTTCCTTTGAGCTTCACCTAAAATCCTTTCCCTCAAGGCTAGGGCCTTCTCTCCAACTCATCCTCCACGTATCTTGTCTGTATAGTTACTAGTCATTCTCGTGTTGTTCCCCTCTTAGATTGTGGGTTCCTTCATGGCCAAGACCACGTTTTGGTACATAGCAGGCACTTAATAAATGCTCATTGTTGTTCCTTACACATACTACTCCACCATGCCTGGAATGCCTTCCTCCCCCTTCCACCTCTTAGGGTCCCTAGCTTCCCTCCAAGCTCAGTTCATACCCCCTGCTCCATGAAGCCTACTGCTACCTCCCCTCCACCAATTACCTTGCATTTATTTTGTGAGCATGATTACATGTTGTCTCCGCTAGCAGAATACAGATTCCGTGAGGACACTTGGCACCTTTTTTCATCTTCGTCTTTCTATTGCCAGCACCTAGTGCTGGCCCATAGTTTTGGGTTTTTTTGTTTTGTTTTTTAAACAAATGCTTGATTGATTAAGTGACTTACCCAAAGTCACATAGGTAGTGAGTAGCAGAATCATGAACTACAAACCAAGTACTCTTTCTATCGCGTGATAGGACCCGGTTTCAAAGTGCTTTGTTAGATGAGTCTTTTAACTCTTCTGCACTGAGTTTCTTCAACTGAAAACAATTGAATTGTCTGATCTCTAAGGGGCCTCCTTAGAGCAAAAGTTCTTAGCTTGGGTCTGTTAATAGACTTCAGGGTGTCTATGAACCTGGATGGAAAAAAATTCATCTCAATGTAATTGGTTTTCTTTGTGTTCCTATGTATTTTATTTTATGAGTTTAAATGCATCATTGAGAGAAGGGGTCCTGAGGCTTCACCACAGTGACTGTCAAAGGAGGCCATCACACACACACACACACACACACACACACACACACATACACACAGCTGCTCGAGAGCTAGGACAGACTTCTTGGATGCTACAGTTCTTGTCACAGGGCTGAGACTTCCCCCCATCTCCCATGGTTTCCTATCCCTACATTTCTCCCTTAAGCCCTAGTGACTCTTACAGTTGTGTGGGTACAGACGAGGGTGTGGAAGAGAAGAAAGTAGACGTTGGTCAACTCTAAATGATTCCATTCTTCAGGACAGCAGACAAGGAAGCCTCAAGAACAAAGAAAACACCACTAAGTTTAGGCATAAATTAGTTTATTCCTTCACAAAGGACATTCTAAGTGCCCAGAGGTGCTGCTTTGCTATGTTTCTTGCCCAATACCATCACTAGCCAGGTCCTAGGACCCAGACTTACTATCACACACATAGAGGGGGTTGGGGAGTGGTCCCTCTCTGCCCATGCTTCCTGCCAGGGACTTTGAATTATCTAATGAGCAATGCTTATGGTGTGAGGTGGATCCTTTCAGGATGGCCAGGGCTGAGTCTGACACACATTTCTTGGCTCTCTCTATATACCAGTAGAAGCAAAAAGAAGGATACCACAACAGAAAACATTAAGAGGAAGACCTGGCCCAGAAACCCCTCTTACCCTGTGCCCAAGAGGGTACAGAGAAGGTGGGGTGGTTAGTGACTAGGGGCCTCTAATGGTTACTTTCACCTGCTTCAGTCAACCCTCATGCCCTCACACACACCTTCCCTGGTGGTCAATGAGTCTTCTGCCTCACTCCCTGGGCCCCATCACTCTTTCACAGAGATACAAAGATGTCAGATAAGCATAGCAGATGTCAGGGGGAGGTATCCTTGATCCAGAACATCTTCTGAGCTGCCTGAATCATGTTCATCCAGATAAGTATCAAGGGCTTGGGGCAGAGGAAGGAGGGATGAGCTGAAGGCTGGCAGAGATGATAGGAGCTCCCACTTCAGGGCTCCAAGTCCCACTGGGAAATGTGTTCCTGGGCTGTGAAAGACCCCAGAGCCAAGTGTCAAGGATCCACTTGGACCCCACTTGGGCAGCCCATTTCAAACAGGCCAGGTTGAAAGGCAGGGCACATTTAGTGAGGTTCTCAGTGGGAAAGATACATCCATCAGGAGACCTAGGAAGGAGGAGATGGAGACCCCCCTGCAAGGGCACTGGCTGTGTTCTAGCCAAGGGACCCAATGTCACCCCCAGACTGCTACTTTTACCTACTACTGAGGCCTCATGCTGTCATAATAGAATCATTTCAGACCATCAGCCCAGGGCGTACAGAGGATCATTTCTATGCCTGAAGTGACCTAAGGATTCTTCCCCCTCCCTATAGTCTCTGATAACCCTGCTACATCTATAGAAGGAAGAAGAAATAAGGGGACCTAAGTGCCTACCCAGAAGAGCCTTCACAGTGAGAGTCAGGAAGGAATTCCAGGGCCAGCCAATGGAGGAAGGAGGTAGGGGGACCGGAAGATGGCAGAAGGAGGGAGCTAAGCTGGGAGTTCATTGCTTGGCAGCTCTGCTCCCATGGAAGCAAAGTTGGGAGAGGAAAAGGATAGAATCAGGAGAGCTTGGGGGTCAAGGGGCCACTCACCAAACTGGCAGATGTAGCGGTTTCGGGTTTTGCAGCGTTGGTCATTCCAATTGAAGGCGGCGGATGCCTGCAGCTCCACACAGTTCCCAAACCTGTAGGGTCCCAGACAGAGGGAACTGAGAATTGTCCCATGGGGAGTGATCTTGGTGGAGGTTTGGGGGTGAAGGGGCATGCAGGTAGGCAGCCCCAACTCTCAGCTTATGGATCTCCTGGGGGCTCAGTGTTCCGCAATGCAGAAGATGCTACTGAGACCCATAGGGCTAGCCAGCACGAATGAGGGAGGGAAGAACCCTGCTGACTACTGAAAGTCAACACCCCCCAGCAAGTAGCTTCTTGTTCCTGTTTCTAGCCCCCCACTCCACCACCCCAGACCTGAGAACATTCCAAGCTGTTTTCAGAGGATTCAAAGAGGACTCTGGAAAAATTCTCACCCATTTTGTAAAAAAAAAAAATTACAAAAAAAAGTTTAAGACAACAAAGCACTCCTATTCCACCATCACCTCCCCCAGTGTTTAGCCATGCTGGCGAGGTCTCCTCCTGCCTTGTGGGGAAAGATGACAGAATAAGAGAAAGGAGTAGAGGAATAAAGTGAGATAACACAGGTAAAGGTTCTGCATACTTCCAGGGAGAAATGCTAGTTAGTTATTAGAACCAAGGCCCTGTGCCCAAGGGAATGGATGGCCTGGGGGAGACATTTCTTAAGGTATTACTATGTGCCAGGCACAATGCTAAGCTAAGGAGATTTAAAGAAAAGCAAAAACAAAGTTTGTGCCCTCAGGGAGCTTATATTCTAATGAGGGAAAGGAATCTTAGAGAGGAAGCTGGGTTGGGGACAGGATCTTGAGATCCCTAGAGATGAATTCTGTTCTGCCTCCTTCCTCCTCCCAAGTCTGATGCCCCCAAATGATGTGGAAACCTTAGCAAGCTTGAAGACGGATGGTCTTTAGCACAGACCCATCCACAGAGCAGACACTTCGTAAATATCCATCCATGAACCAGCTCCATGTTCTGACCACGGGACCACTACTTCTCCAGACCTTTCCATCTTTTGTCTCTAAACGTACAAGAGCTTCCTGCACCCAGAGGGCGCTCCCCCTCCTCTCTGCCTGTCAAAATCCTTATCTTCCTTCCAGTCTTGGAATCTCTATGGATCCTTTCCTAATTTCCCAAGGTGCAGGTATCCTCATCCTCTTCAAATTTTACTACTCCACATCTGAGGTGTATCCCCAGGAGAATATAAAGTCCTTGAGGGCACAGACTCATTTTTGCTCAGAGCCTAACATTGTGCCTTGCACATAATTGACATTTGTTGAATCAAATTAAATTAAATATTATTTTGTCTTGTTTTCTAATTGTTTCCTGGTTTTCCTGTCTTGTTTTCCAGTTAAATGGAGAACTCTCTGAGGGCAGGGACTATATCATTTATACATCTTAGCAGCAATATTGGTCAATTACCTGATATAGTGAGGGGGAGGCGGGACAAAGATAGGACAGTAGATAGTGTGGAGATTTTGGCCACCATCCAACTTGGAATGGCCCGTGGCCCTGGGACACCCCTCCCTATAGGAGCTAATCCATTAGCAGGATAGCTGTTTACCCCCTTTGAAATTACCTCACACCTTCACTCTTGACTTATGTTTGTGTTGATTGTCTAGACTCGAGAAAGTGATGGAGAAAATGTTAATGATACAGATTAAATGTAAAAGTTTATCATACTGTATATCATACATATGTGTGTCTGTGGATGTATATGTAATATATATAATTATGTGTATATGTGTATGTAATGTATATTATATATCACATATTGATGTGATATATGTATATATATATATATCCCTGACACACTTTTAATAGACTTAACATATGAAACTTAAAAATTTATATATGATATATCACATATGTGTGTGTGACTATAGATATCTATAATGTATATCATATATAATATATTAATGTGATATATATCCATATCCCTGACACGCTTTTAAGCTTAATAGACTTAACATATGAAACTTTAAAATTTATATATTATATACCACATACAATACATAATTATATATATATAAAATATCATATATATATACATACACACACTACACACTTTTATGTTTAATCTGCATTATTAACATTTCTCCATTACTTTCTTAAGTCCAAACAATCAACAAAACAATGAATTAGGAGCTGATTGTAGGATAGTGTAATACAAACATTTTTTTCCCCAAGAGCTGGTTGTTAAATATTTACCAGTATACCCCTACCCCTACCCCATGCTCTCTCACCCCTGGTTGTCTGGCTGGCCAAAGGCAAAACTGGTGAAGGAGTAATGCTCTCCTGTGGCCCAACGGAAAGAGTCCTTGGAGGTCTTGTAGGTCAGTCCTAGAGTAAAGACCGAACCATCAGGTCAGTTGCACCATCTGTCACTCTTAGGGTCTCTACTTCTGCCTCCACTTCCACTTTAAATCGATACTGAAGGGAGGGATTAGAAGGGACTGCCCTATTTTCTTGAGTCTGTGGGCCCCTGTGCCCCTTTTCCTCCACTCTTCTCTTTGTATGTCTTCCAGGAAGGGCTCTTGCCCACTGAGGACTACTTCCTAGTACCAAAGCCCTTGAACCTCTCCCACTCACACCCACTGGCTCTCCTCCTCCCCCTCCCACTTTCCCACTTTGTACTCTCTGTCAACCTTCCTGATCTTGTCTGAAGACATTTCTTCTTCTCCCCTCAGCCCTTCCCGGTGAAGGTCCCTGATCCAACAGCTGGCCAGATTCCTAATCTCCTGGCTCTAAACCTTCCCTGATCTGTTTCTCTTAATCCCCACCTCATCTCCACATGGCTGGGATTCTAGGATCCACCCACTCTATTCCACGCTCTCTAAGTGTGCCTACAGAATCCTCCTTGAGCTCTGGAAGCAGGCAGGGATGGTTCTGGGGAGTCTCCAGGGCCCAATTCCTACCCTGCTATTTCCAGCCATCACACTCACCAATCCAGAAGTTTCTGGTCTCAAAGTCAGCATCTGTCACCTCATTAGTGGTTTCCAGGCGTCCCAGGTAGAAGGCGAGGATGTCCTGGACTTTTTGATTCTCAATCTGAGCCAGCATTCCACCCTTCTCCTACAAGTCACTAGCCATGTCACAGTGGTACCATCTTACCCAGGGAACCCAAGGCATCTCAGGGCTTCTCCTCAGAAAGACCCCAAGAAACCCCATTGTCCACCCTCAAAAAGATTAAGAAAATCTCAGTGAATTTCCCAACTATATGGTGCAGTGGATAGAGTCCTGGACTTGGAGTCAGGAAGACCTGAATTCAAATCTTCTCTCAGACACTTGCTGGGGGCCATCTCCAGTCATCCTGATCTATATCTGGCCACTGGACCCAGATGGCTCCAGAGGAGAAAGTGAGGCTGGTGACTTTGCACGGTCCTCCCTCACTTCAATTCACTTGCAAGTCATGGCATCACCTCCCTAATGTCATGGTCCTCTTCAAGAATAAAGGACAAACAACACCAGACACTTGGTAGCTAAGCCACCCTGGGCAAGTCAGTTAACTTCTGTCTGCCTCAGCTTCCTCGTCTAAAAAAAAATGAAGATATTAAAAGCACCTACCTCCCACAATTGTTGGGAGGATGTAATGAGATAATATTTGTAGAGCACTTTCCAAAACTTAAAACTCCACATAAATGCTAGATATTATTATTGTTGTTATTGTTACGAGGTTGCCCTGCACCCCCCCCCACCTCAGAGCAAAGCTTCAGGAGAGACCCTGGGACTAGGCAGCCAGTAAGGACCAACTATGCATCTAACTCCAGTGTCTGCCCTCCATTTGGCCCTCATAAGGGTGCCACGGAGCACCACCACCGGGGGCTCCACCTTGTGTCCTGCATCCAGGCTGCTTGACTGATCACTGCTTGGATGGGATGGCAATCGACAATTCTATTCCTTCCAGTCAGATAGGCCACTCCAAGCCCAGTCCCCCAGAACAGTTGTCTGGCCTACTCAGGTTGATTAAGGACCCCTGGACCTTGAATCCTCCCCACTGCAGCACCCTTAGGACTTCCAGGCCTTTCCACTTGCCCTGAAGCAGAATTTTCCTTTATGTTGACTTTCCCAATTAGAATGTGAGGAGAGGTCTTTCTCCCATCACCCAGGAGGCTGCCTAACACAGGTGCAGATACCAGCAGAATGCATGAACTGGCCTACCAGCTGTCTTCTCTCTTCCTCCGCCTTTCAATGGCCTCTTTGTCCACTGATCAATACAACCCCCAATCTATGAAACATAATTCTGCAATCTGAGCACCGAAAGAAACAGGCAGCGTAGACACTGACAGGGAAAATGTCCGCTTCTCCAGGGCAAGCACTGGTCTGTCTGTCTCCCCAGAACTTGGCACGCTGCCTGGCATGCAGTGATTAATGTTGGTTGGATTAAATTGAGTTAGGCAGCTTGTCTCTTCTATGTAACTGCTGAATTCTTGAAGCTCAGAGGCTGTGTCTGCAGTTACCCTCCTCCCCCCAAATCTCCTAAAAGCTGATTGACAATTGACCAGACTAAAGTCTGCCCTCTGGGACTGGAAATCAAGAGAATAAGGGTAGGCAAGGGGGAAGAATAAACATTTCTATAATACCTACTATGTGTCAGGCACCATGCTAAGCACTTTTACATGTATTATCTCATTTGATCCTCACAACAACTCTTCCAAGGTAAGTGCTATTATCCCCATTTTACAGTTGAAGAAACTGAGGCAAACAGAGCTTGAGTGATTTGCCCAGGGTCACAAAAGTAGCAATTGACAGAGCCAGACTCTAACTCCGAATCTAGCTTTCTTTCCCCAGTTTTGCTCTGGCTCCCATGAGCCACACCCGAGCCTGAGAAAATAGGTCAACTCCATTCTAAAGAGACAAAAGCACTTGAATAAGGTCTAACACTGGAGAAGACCCTGTCGTCACACCTAAGGGATTGTTGCACATTCTGTTAGGGCTTAGTTCCATGACATCAGCCAGTTTATGATGTTAGCTTCTCCTCAGAGGATTCAGATTCACATCCAGAAATATTTATTGTGTCCACTCTGTAAGCAGCATTTTGCTAGGTACTGCAAGCCCTCCTTCCCTTTTATTCAGGCCCCAGAAAAGCCCAGGACCGCACCCCCACGGCCCACAGGAACAAGAGTTTCACCTGACATTTACTCTTGGCTCCATAGTAGGTGTCTGCCTCCGGGGAGATCATGAAGCAGCTGCCATCTATCCAAAGGTCACAGGCATGGAAGGGGAACTGGACCTTGACTGAGAAAGAAGAATGTGGGTCCTCAGGTGCCTATATGCCTTGATGTGAGGTCAGGGCAGGGAGCACCTGGCTACTCTAAGGGCTATGTCAGTCAACTGACAAGCATTTAGTGAGCACTTACTATACTCCAGGCACTGTGACAGACTCAGGGGCGACAGAGAAAAAACAGAACAGTCCCTGACCTCAAGGAGTTTCCATTCTATCAAGGGAGATATGTCCATGTATCAGTACACAAAAATAATAAAAACAAAATAAACACAAGGTTGTTTGGGAGGCAGTTGGAAGGACTCAGGAAAAACTTCACATAGAAGGCGGTAATTGAAGTGAGGATTCTCTGAGGTAGAAGTGAAGAGGGAGTGCATTCCAGGCACAGGGGACACTCAGTGGAAAGGCAAGGAGACAAAAAATTGAGCGCTACGGCTGAGGAACAGCCAGAGGGACAGTGTGGCTGAACCACTGAGTGTGAGAAGAGGGAAAAGGCATTAATGAGGCTGGAAAGAGAACCTTTCCCCCATGATCAGGAAGCTACCCACACAGAGTCCTGGCAAGTGTCAGCAGGCAAGCCCTGCCTTCCTTGAGTTCTGAGAGAGGATCCAGAGCCCCAGGCTTGGTCTGGCTTTAGAAAGCCATACTCACGTGCACACTCAGCTCCGCCATAGCCAGCGTCGCAGAGACAGGAGCACTCCTCTTCCCGGAATCGGCCGTGTTGACACCGTACACTGCACCTCACTATAAAGTACCCAGAGCGTGGGCAAGCCACCCCTACCCAGGCCAGCCCCCTCCCATCCCTGACCCCTGCCTCCAAAGCCCTAATACCCATGGAAAATCCTTTCGCTTGTGTCAGTATTACCCCCCGCCCTGATCTCCCTAAAAGAGTCCACCAGAGCCATATTCAGTCCAGGGAGGAAAATCGAGAGGAGGCAAACATTCAGCACATGCAGACTAGGAGTTGGGGAAGGGGGATCCCTCCAACACAGGACAAGGCTAGTGGAGTCTGTAGAGGACAGCATACAACTTTGGGGTGCGTATGGATCCCAATTCTGTCTTCACTCCTGCGGGCTGTGTGGGAAGGGAGCATGGGGTCCTATGACCTTGAGGGGTGCCTTCCAACTCTGAGTCACCCAAGTAATTAATCCTTCCCTCCAACTCCACTGAATTCATCTTAATTACTTCTCAAATTATTTTCATATCATGAATGGCAAAGTGAATTTGAGGCCCCATTTCCTGCTGCTTGCCCCCAGTTGGTTTTCCTTGCCCAGGGCGGTAGTTGTCCTAGGTGCTGAAATTACCAGTTACACTCAATGCTTTCCTCCCCATCCCCGCCCCTTCCTCCCCTCCTCCTCAGTTCTCAACCTCTTCCAATCTGGCTGCCCACTCCACCCCTGGACTGACTAAGTGACCAATGGTCTCTTGAGTGATAAATCCAATGGTGTTTTCTCAGCCGTCATTCTTTTTGACTTCTGTCTGTATTTGAAGATGTCTAACAACCATTTCCTCCTGAACACTCTGTCCTCCCTTGGCTTCCATGACACTTCTCTCTCTTGGTCCTTCTATCTGTCTGGTCACAATGTTTTGGTCTTTGCTGGATCGTTACCTATATCCCATCCTCTGATCATGGTGGGGGAGCTTTCTATGTTTTGTCCTGGATCCTCTTCTCTTTTAATAATCATAATAGCTCTCACTTTAAGGTTAGCAAAATCTTTTACAAATATCTCATTTGATCTTCATGACAACCCTGGGAGGTATTATTATCCCCATTTTACACGTGAGGAAACAGAGGCAGACAGGTGTTGCCAAGGGTCACATCACAAGTAAGTGTCTGAAGCAGAATTTGAACTCCTAACTCAAGGTCCAATGCCCACCCAATTATTCAATTATCACATCCATACAAATGACTCCTAAATCTATATATCGAGCCCTAATCTCTTCTCTCTCTTGAACACTAATTCTTGTGCCTTCTCTCTGTTATTTCCTATTTATCCTGTATGTACCTTGCTCTGTATATATTTGCTTTCATGTTGTCTCCCCCATTAGATTGTAAGCTCCTTGAATGCAAGGGCTGTCTTTTTGTATCCCCAGTGCTTAGCACAGTGCCTCAAATTTTTCAGTCATGTCCAACTCTTTGTGACCCCATTTGGGGTTTTCTTGGCAGAAACGCTGGAATGCTTTGCCATTTTCTTCTTCAGTTTATTTTACAGATGAGGAAACTGAGGTAAACAGGGTTTAAGTGACTTGCCCAGGGTTACACAGTTAGTAAGTGCCTGAGGTCAGACTTGAACTCAGGATTCTTCCTGACTCTAGGCCTGGCACTCTATCCACCATGCCACCCAGCTGCCTACCTGGCATTTAATAAACATTTATTGATTGATTGAATGCCAGCTCTGAACAGCCAACTGTCTGCAAGACATGTCTATCTTCTCTATTTTTTGTTTTGTTTTGGTTTTCTGGGGAGACAATTGGGGTTAAATGACTTGCCCAGAGTCACACAGCTAGGAAACATTATGTGTCTGAGGCCACATTTGAACTCGAGTCCTCCTGACTTCAGGGCTGGTGCTCAAGACATGTCTATCTCAACACATCATTACCATCTCCAACTCAACATACCCCAAACAGAACTCATTATCTTTAACCCAAACCTCTTCTATCTCCAAGCTTGCTTCTTTCTTCCCAGGACACCACCATCTTTCCAGTCACCCATTTCTGATGCTTCCCTCTCCTTCAACCTTCTTATCCAATCATTTGCCAAGTTTATTAATTCTATTTCCACAAAATCTTCCCAATCCATTCCATTTTTTTTTTCTTGCCTGGACTATGGCAAAAGAAAGTTTTCTAATTAGGATTCCTGCTTCTAGTCTCTTTTGTCCACATAGCTGCCAAAATAACCATAAAAGACAAGATCTGATCATGTGGCTCTCCTCTTCAAGAATTTCGGTGGCTCCCTACTACCTTTAGGATAAAATATAAATTCTTTAGCTTGGCATTTAAGTTTTCACAGTCTATTTTTCCAGACTTATTTTACATTATTCCCTTTTATGGTCCAAACTGGCCAACATATTTTCCTCACACTCTGCATTCCATCTCCTAACTCCATGATTACGAACAAGATGTTTCCTAGAAAATGCCTAGAACACCCTTCCTCCCAGAACAAGTGAGGCTTTGCCCCAAGCATCAATATCTGGAGGAGTCACTTTGTCCCTTGGGTTTCCTCCCTGGGAAGATCTGCATCCTCCTCATAGTGACCACTGTCTCTGTGCCTTACCAGGATGCTTTATTAACCCACAGACAGCACAGTGGCCACCCTACCTCTTGGGTCTTGTCCCTGTTCTCTCCTTCCCCTGGGCCCACCTATCTTTCCAGGCCCCCACAGAACTGGACCTCCCTGTCTCCTGGTATTCCCCATAGTTAGATTTCCTCAGTGGTTATGCCATCTCCAAAAAAATACCATTACCAATGACAATAACCCTCTATTTTTGCTCCGAGTGAAAAAAAATCTAGTTACAACTCCATTTCCTTAGATAGACCTGGATAATTTTGGTCTCTAAGAATCCTTAGCTTCCTTTCAGGCTACTCTCAGGTGGCTCCTTCTCTGTGAAGCCTGTCCTGATCACCTTAGATGTCACAGCTATCTCTCTCCCACCTCCCTCTCTGTCTGTCTCTCCTTCCCTCCTTCCCCATCCTTCTCTCTCTGTCTCTCTCTCCCCTCCCTCTCCCCTCTCTCTCTTTCTCTGTCTCTCTCTGTCTCTGTTTCTTTCTGTCTCTCTCTGTCTCTCTCTCTTTCCTCTTCTCTCTCTGTTCCTCTTTGTATATCTGTCTCTGTCTCTTTCTCTTCCTCCCTCTCCCTGTTTGTCTGTCTCTCCATCCCTCCCTCCTTCCATCCCTCCTTCTCTCTCTGTCTTTCTCCCCTCCTTTTCTCTCTCTGTCTTTCTCTCTGTTTTTGTGTCTGTGTGTCTCTGTCCCTGTCCCTCTCACTCTCTCTTTCTCTGTCTCTTTGCATATGTCTATCTCTGTCTCTCTTTCTTTCTCTCTCTGTCTCTCTCTCTCTTCCTCTCTCTCTGTCTCTCTCTCCTATTTGTATGCATGTTGCATCCTGTCAGTAGCATAGAAGCTCCTCAAGAGCAGGTGCCATTTTCCACTTTGTCTTGTATCCCACATCTAGCAGTTACAAACTGTTGAGTTGAGCTGGCACCCATGCCACCAAGTGCCACTGCCCATGGATGCCCCCTGTACACTGAATTCTAGGCTCTCTGTGCCCCCCATCTTTGTTCATTCCAGACTACCCGCAGACATCGAGGGGCCTCCTCACCTTGGCAATACCTGCCGGTGTAACCTGGGAGGCAGTCACAGTGACAGGTGCTGACATTGAGACGTCCGTTGTGCCGGCAACTCATCCGACATGGGTTTCGGGGTACCTCTGATCAGAGAGAGCACAGGGAATGAATCAGAGAGGGCACAACTTCATCAGGCTAGGCCTACTCCAAAGATGCCAGTATTCTTAGGGTGGCATTTCTGGGGACTGGTGGCATCTTAGGTGATATCACCAGAGGAAGGACAGGGGTAGAAATCATTGGCCACTCATGTGTATCACCCCCACACATCACCTCCATCCAGAAGCTTTAGCTTCCTCTGAGTCATCAGGAAAACAGAACAGAAATGCCTGTCTAGGAGAACACAAGGGAGGAAAAAGGGGATAAAAAAGAGAGCTGGGGGAACACTCACCACAGAGCCCACCTCCATGATCCCAAGCTTTGAAACAGCCTGAGACACCAGCAGTACAGAGCGAGCACCAGGCCCCTTTTTTGTATGGAACAATCGTCTTCCCATTCACCTCCCAGTTGCCCCTGCGTGAGAGAGCACAGAGGCTCAGGGGTAGTGAAAGAGTGCTAGGTTTGAAGCCATATAACTTCTGACCTTTCCACCGTGTACCATGTACTGTGTAACTGTGGTCAAGTCATTAACTATGTCTGGGGCCCAATTTCCTCGACTAAAATGAGAAAGTTGAATTAGAATCAAGGATCCTTGATTTCTGGGGGTCCATGAATTTGTTTATTTTTTTAAAAGTTATAACTATATTTCAATATAATTGGTTCCCTTTGTAAGCCTTTGCATTTTATTTTATCACTTAAAAACAGGATTCTGAGAAGGGGTCCATGGGCTTCACCAGACTGATGCCCAAGGGGGACATGACAGTCAAGTAGCTAGTCTCTAAGGGCCCTTCCATGGCTAGATCTATGATTCTCTGGAGAATCTGGTGACCTGGATGGGAAATTAGGGGACAAGTAGGGAACATTTAGTATGGGTTGACACTCCCCCTCCTCCCCACCAACAAGTGGAAAATTGCAAAAGGTACAAGTCCCTTTTGTCTGATGCCCATCAGGATGTACAGTCCCAGAGGGATGGATGTGGGATGGACAATGCCCCCCAGGCCCAGATATAGGGGGACCTTACCCAGGAGAATAGGCACAAGCGAATGCCTCCATCTCCATGAGGCCCATAGTGCACAGGTGTTTCCCACAGCCCAGTTGGCTTGAGGTGGCCCACACCAGCTGCAGGAGAAAGAGAGGGCCCATAGGCTTAGAGTCGCTGGACACCGTCCACTCCCCACCCCATCCTCTGCCCCTTCTGGGCATGTCCCAATCCACTCCCCACCCCAAAACTTGTGGTGAGGCTCTTTCAAGCTGGGAACCACGTAGAGGCAACCAGAAAGAACACATCTCAACTTCCACATCCTCCCCTCCCCCATCTCCAACACACAGATTTGGGTAGATCTTGTCGGGGGAAACTTCCTGCAGGAACTAAGTGAGTCTGGAGTTAAAATTTGAAGGAAGAGAGGGCCACAATGGGTAGAGAAGGTGGTGTAGGGTGTCCCAGGCAGGCAAGCAGGGAGTGTGAGAGGCTGCAAGGACCAGGGTGCTCTGCATAGTGTGAATTTGGAGCTGGAAGGGACATCAGTGATGTTCCCATCCAGCCTTTTCATTTTATAGATGAGGAAACTGAGGCCGATAGAGTTAAAATGACTTGCCCAAAGTCACAAAAGTAAGACACAGTAGATTAGATGGTGCAGTGGGTAGAGCATTGGTCCTGGAGTCAGGAGGACCTGAGTTCAAATCTTGCCTCAGATTTTATTAAAAATCTTATTAACTTATTAATAAGATTAACTGCATCACCCTGGGCAAGTCACTTAACCCCTATTGCCTCAAAAAAAAACAGTAGAGTCAGGAGAGCAGATGCTTATTAAACATTAATTGAACTGAATTAAGTCATGTTCTTAATTTAATCTTAGATAATATTATTTATTATAAATTATAGATGTAAAATATGTTTATTATTTCTTATAAGTTAATATTACTTTCAAATAATAGCTAGTGTTTATGTAGCACTTTAAGGTTTGTAAAGCACTTTACAGAAATAGGGGCTAATATTATCCCCATTTTACAGATGAGGAAACTGAGGCCCAGAGAAATTAAGTGATTTGTTCAGGGTCATACAGCTAGTAAGTGTTAGAGGCAGGATTTGAACTCAGGTCTTCCTGAATCCAAGTCCTGCATTCTGTGCACTCATCATCATCATCATCATCATCATCATCATTTGTCTGCATTAGTGATTTTTTTGGTGTAGGGAACTCCAGATAAGGAAACTCCCTCTACCAATGTGGATCAACAGCTATTCTAAGACGATAGTCTGCATCAGTGGTGGGGAGCCTGAGGCCTCAAGGCCACATGCGGCCCTGTTCTGTGAAGTTTGCATTCAGTCAAAGGGCTACACTCGAGGACCTAGAGGGCCACACGTGGCCCAAGGTCAAGCACCCAGAATACGTCTGAAGACAGACTTGAACTCAGGTGTTCCAAACTGTAGGGGAGGCTCTCAAGCCACTATGCTATGCTACCTCTTATTATTATATTTTATATGTTCTTCAGTTGTGTCTGACTCTTTGTGACCCAATTTGAGGTTTTCTTGGCAGGGATACTGAAGTGGTTTGCCATTTTCTTCTCCAGTTCATTTTACAGATGAGGAAACTGAGGCAAACAGGGTGAAGTGACTTGCTCAGGGTCACACAGCTAGTAAGTGTCTGAGGTCAAATTTGAACTCAGATCTTCTTGACTCCTGGTCCAACACTCTATCCACTGCACCACCTAGCTGCCCTGCCTCTTACTATAAGAACTGGTCATTATAGATTAAAAAGTCCTCCCACCAATTGGAGGCAATGAGGTGGAAAGAATTCTGAATTCAGGAGACCTGGATTCGAATTTTACCTATGTGACTTTGGGCTAGTCACTTCATTTGTCTAAGCCTCAATTTCCTCTTCTGTAAGATGAGGAACCTGGGCTAGATGGCCTCTGAGGTCATTTCCAACTCTGGGTCTGTTTATCGTATGACCTTGAATTGGTGTTTGGATTGAATCCCTGGGAAAACAAGTCCTCAGCTCCTAAGTGGGCCCCTACCTGGGTGTAGTGAGCACAGGTCAAGTTGCTAGCACAATGAGCAGCTGCGTAGGTATACCCTTGCCCCTCTCGAAACCACGAAGTGACCACATCAGCGAAGGAGGCGACCCTAGCTGGCAGGAGCTGCACATTCCAGCCCAACTGCAGGGCCTGGACGCGGGCAGGGAGCAGGGCCTGAGCTGAACAGCGGGCTGCCTGCTCCTGGGCCAGCCCGGCCAACTGATCACTCCAGTCCTGCAGGAGAAGCAGAGGTAGAGGAGTCAGATAGCAGGCTCCTTTGAGTCGCAGTGTGAGGAAGGGAGGGGCAGAGAGACATATGGGTATAGCATCCAGACTCTCCTTGTCAACCGATTAAGGCTGCACAGAGCTCAGGGTCTCAGCAGGATTACTGTTCTACTAGAAAAGATCATAAATTCACATCTATGTTACATTCCCCACAGACCACATACCTTGCATCCAGTTCCAGAACTGAGTTACCATATATCACAAAACCCCTGAACCTTTTAAAAACTAGCTTTAATTAATTAAATTGAATTAATTAAAATAATTAAATTTAATTAATTCAGCTTCTGCTTTGTAAGCATCTACTTGTCCTAGAGACAGACTCTTTTTCTCCTCTCCCAGGCATATGCTCCTGCTTGCACATAAAGTGATAGTATCTATTCTTCATTGACCTTATACCTTAACACCCTCAACCCCATCTACCACACACACACACACACACATACACACACACACCCCACTGCCTCCTTAAGGTAGGTAAGGAGAAAGGGTTCATGTTCCCTAGAGAGTAAATGGAAAATAAATACCCAGAGAGGCTGAGACCTCCAAACAGGGCCATAACCAAGGTGAAGCAAACAGGTCTTTGGCCCAGGGCACAGAAATTCATTTCTTAAAATTTATTTTTAAATGAAGTAAAATTTCATTAAAATGAAATAATTTAAAAATGAGTATGTTTATAGATGCCTTTTGTATTTACATCAATCCCCAAATTCAGAGATCAGTGACAGCACGTGGATTTCATCAACAACTCAGCAACTCAGCTTAGCAACTAGTTAGCAAGGATCATCAGATAAAATAGGAACCAGATGGTAGTTTCCTCCCCACCAACACACACAATTGAATTTGTCTTTAAAAGTTAATTTGAGGGTGAATTTCATGCTGTGTCCTAGAACTGTCTCCTTTAGTCCCCAAAAGGCTAGCTTCTACTCAACTCCTCTTTACTACTCAGTGAAGTTCTGATATTCTTGGTAACCCCTGCCTCACCCCTGAAAGTGACCAGGGCTCCTCTGGACTTTGCAGACTGAGACATAAAACTGTTTCCACCTAAGTACCGAATAATCTCTAGGGCTTCTTCCTTTTTTTTTTTTAATTTTAATTAATAAATTTATTTTTAGTTTTCAACAATCACTTCCTTAAGCTTTTGAGTTTTAAATTTTCTCCCCCTCCTTCCCTGCCTCCCTCTCTAAGACAGCATACAATCTGATATAGGCTCTACATGTACATTCCTATTAAACACATTTTCATGTTCGTCCTGTTGTAAAGAATTAGAACCAATAGGAGGAATCACAAGAAAGAAGAAACAAAACAGAAGAAAAAAAAGAGCAAATGGAATGCTTTCAAATCTGCATTCAAACTCCATAGTTCTTTCTTTGGATGTGGATAGTATTTTCTACTGTGATTCTGAAACGATTGTGGCAAAGTCTATGGGAAAGCAATGCCATTCTTGTTAACATCGATGAAGTTTTGTACTGCCCCTCAAAGCAAAGACTCATTCCAGCACTTACCATCGTGCCTGTATGAGGGGGAACGTTAAGAAGGTTCCATGAAGAAAAGAAAACTTACCCTGTTTACTCTATGTGCTATAAGCTTGAACCCACTTTCCCTTGGACTCTGATTACACTTGCTGGAGAGTATGTCCCAGAATTTGGGGGGGATGTTTTATACCAACTCTTCTTACCATACCACGTTAGTAAACGCACATTTCTAAAAGCTAGTAGCAGCTGGCTGGCCAGTTGATATGAAATGATAATCAATGGGGGAAGCACACTGTTGGGGGCTTGTGAGCAAAAGCATTAGAAAACCACCTCTCCAAATCAGAGACACTTAGAGAGGAAAAGTAGCAACTTCCCTCTGGGGAACCCATCTGACAGTATGAATGGGAATTTGGGATAGCAGCCCCAGAGCCTGCCCTACACTTTAAAAAAAAGCCAGCTGTATATAATAGTCACAAATTTCATGTGCAATCATTTTCTGTTCTACTATGACTATAAAAATGTTCTTTTTATTTGGCATTGGCTCAGTTAAAAATAATTTTTATCAAGTGTGTGTTTTTTGGCAAATGATAAGATAGTTTACTTAAAGAACCCTAGAGAGTCAACTAAAAAAACTAATCAAAACAATTGCCAACTCCACAAAGTTGCCAGATACAAAAATAAACCCACAAATCATCTATATTACCATATATTACCAACAATATCCAGCGGGAAGAGTTAGAAAGAGAAATACCATTTAAAATAACTAAAGACATATAAAATACTTGGGAGCCTACTTGCTAAAACAAATAAAGACAGATCTAAATAACTGGAGAATTATTCATTGTGCATAGGCCAACATAATAAAAATTACATCACCTAAATTAATTTACTTATTCAGTACCATGCCGATCAAACTTCCCTTAAAGAATTATTTTGTTGATCTAGAAAAAATAATAAAACTCATCTGGAGGAATGAAAGGTCAAGAATATCAAAGGAAACAATTTTTAAAATGGTAAGGTAGGTGACCTAGCAGTATCAGATCTCAAACTATACTACAAAGCTATAATCAAAACCGTTTGGTACTCGGTAAGAAATAGAGAGATTGATCAGCAAAACAGATTAGGTACCCAACACAGAAGTAAATGAGCACAATAATTTTCTGTTTGATCAACCCAAAGATCCTAGCTATTGAGGTAAGAACTCACCATTCAACAAAAACTGCTGGGAAAATTGGAAAGCAGTCTGACAGAGGTAAGGTATAGACCAACATCTCCAAGCTCAAAATGGCTATACGGTTTAGTCAAAAAGGATAACATCATAAACATATTAGTGGAGAGTTGAAGAAATTACCTGGCAGATCTATGGACAGAGGAAGAGTTTGTGACCAAATGTGATAGAGAGGTCCACAGAAAGTAAAAAGTATAATTTTGATTGCATAAAATTGAAAATTTACCCTCAAAGAGATCAAAATCAAAGCAGCTAAAATTAGAACAAAATAAGGAAACTTGGGAGAAAAATCTTTGCAGCAAGTTCTCTGATAAGTTTCTAAGACATAGAGGGAACTGATTCAAGTTTAAAAGAAGAAAAGACATTCTTCAACTGACAAATGGTCAAAAGATATAAATAGGCAGTTTTCAAAGAAAGAAATCTAAAATCTCAATAGCCATATGAAAAAATGCCCTTGGGGCAGCTGGGTGGTACAGTGAATAGAGCACCAGCCCTAGAATCAAGAGGACCTGAGTTCAAATCCAGCCTCAGACACTTGACACTAGCTGTGTGACCCTGGGCAAGTCACTTAACCCCAATTGCCTCACCAAAAAAAAAAATGCCCTAAATTACTAATAATTAAAGAAATGCAAGTTAAAATAATTCTGAGGTACCACCACACCCCCATTAGATTGTCTAAGATAAAAAAAGGAAAATGATAAATGTTGAATGGGCTATGAGAAAACAGGGGCACTAACACATGAATTGTGGAGTTATAAACTAGTCCAACCATTCTGGAAAATAATTTAGAACTACCCCTCAAAACTGTGCATATCCTTTGACCCAGCAATTCCACTACTAGATCTGTATCCCAAAGAGATCAAAGATAGAGAGGAAAGGATAAATATGCACACAAAAAAAATTTATAACAGCTCTTTTTTTGTGGTGACAAAGAATTGGAAACTGAGGGGATGTCCATAAGTCGGGGAATGGCTAAACAAGTTATGGTATATGAATGCAATGGAATGTCATTATGCTATAAGAAATGATCAAGGGATAGTTTCAGCAAAAACCTGGGGGGAACCATGTTAACTGACACAAAATGAAGTAAGCAGACCAGAACAATTTATAATTATCAACTCTGAAAGACAGTATCTCTGATCAACATAAGGACCAATCATAATGTCAAAGGACTCATGATGAAACATATTATCCATCTCCAGAGAGAGAAATGAAGGGCTCAGAGTGCAGACTGAAATATATTTTTTGGTCTTCTTCTTCTCCTCCTCCTCCTCCTCCTCCTCCTCCTCCTTCTTCTTCATCACCATCTTGACATGGCTAATGCAGGAGTTTATTTTGCATGACTATACATGTTTGCAAAGGCTTTTGTTTTTCTTGCTTTCTCCATGGGTGGGGGAGAGGAGAAGGGAGGGAGATAATTTGGAACTGGAAATAAAGTAAAGTATATGTATGGGTTTGTGAGTGGGCAGTATGTGTTTGTGGAGAGGGTTTATAGAGGTAAGGAGGAATGTATTTGTATATATGCATATGTATATGTGTATGTATACATATACATATATATATACATATATATATATATATATGGGTAGTGGGACTTGTGAGTGTTTACAGGAGTTTGCAGGAGGAGGTAGTTCACGTGTGGGGGTTCGAATATTCATGGCAGTGGTGGGGTTGGGGGAAGGCTTGAGTTTGTGTGTGAGTGTTAATAAGTGTGTCTGGTGGCACACAGTCTGTAGGGAACTGCAGTGGACACGTTCTACCATGGATAGCTCCAGGTCCTTTGACCTTGGTGGGGACCCTGATTCTGGGACTATATACACCAAGGAGGCTCAAGTGAGCTTAGCAACAGGAGAGGGAGAGGAGACCTGGGAATGAAGGAGACAGGATTCTCCCACCCCCACCTCCTGGGAACTTCACCTCCAGGCATCCAAGGTCATTGCTGAGCTGGGAAGGCATTTATGGCCTGTCTCCCAGCCTCCACAGCTGGGGGCTGAACCAGCCAGCTGGATGGTGACTTTAAATGCTCACTCCCTAGGGAAGCAGCCAGGGAGAAGTCCTCCCACCCTTTGGGAGCTCCCCACACCCAAGGCCTAGTTAACCATTGTACCAGGGCCCAGGAGCAAGAACACTGGGGCCTTGGCAAGGCCATGTCCCTGCCTTTACTCACCCTGGGTCAGATGGAAGGTCTCTTTGGGACTAAATCCTGGGGGTGACAACTTCTCTGGGCATCTCTCCCATGGAGCAAGCCAGGGTGGGCTCCCAGTGCCCTTGGCTTGAGTCTCCCTCATCTGAAATTGTAATTGGATGCCTACCCCGTCCTAGGTGCAGGGGAAATCAGAAGGCCATACACTCTCTTCCCTTCCAGCCCTTGTAGTAGGAAAAAACCCCTCAGCCTGGGAGCCCAGGTAGACACAGACACTCTTAGGAAATCTTCCAAGGAGAGAGCAAAGTGTGGAGACATAAAACTGTAGGGTTGCCCTCACTTCAGAAGCTCCTGGCTGGTGTATAAGGTAGACCCAGCTGTCCCTGGTACCCTTGACTAAGCCCTCCCTGGGCTCTTTACAGTAATTAGATTCTTCCATAGTTCCCTAAGTTAGGTCCCCTGTCCTCTGGACCATCCTTGCCTTCATCACTTACTGACACTCCATCTCTGGAGCCAAGTGAGGGCCAAGACAGACAAATGAGCTGGGTGTGGGCCTCTGGGGTCATATGGGAGGTCCCCAGGATGATTTGTTCAGGAAGGGCCCCGAAAGAAGTCGGCCCCACCCAATGACCCTGCCACAGCTTCCTCCCTGGACTCATATACATGGTACCCCTGTGGACATTCAGACTCTCTCTCTCTCTCTCTCTCTCTCTCTCTCTCTCTCTCTCTCTCTCTCTCTCTCTCTCTCCTACACCCACCCCTAGCTTGGTAGTTTGTTCACACCTTCATCTGGCTCCAGAGAGGAGGTTCTATCTGGAAGGGGTGTTGTGAGGATTAAATGAGATAATACATATACAGTGCTTTGCCAACCTTAAAAAGCTAGTTATATAAATGCTAGCTATTTTTGTTTGCTACAGGGGCAGGAAGGATTCAGTTCTCCTGAGAGCTTCAGATGCCCTGCTCTCCCCCTCTCCCCACCACACACAAACACACACACACACACACACACACACACACACACAATCCCCACTAGCTGGGACTAATTCTGACAGGGTTGATGAAGCATGAGAGCTGGAGCTAAGCACGGAGAGCTCAGCCACCTGGGAATGGGAAGAGGGAGAAACAATCCTGGGGCCCTAGGCCTGGCCTCTAGCAGAGCCCGGCATGATCTCCACCACTCACCCAGCCTCATCACCCTCATGTATCTTGGCCAGGATCACCAGGCCACTGACTGCCCGGGTTCACAGGAGGCTGGGGTGAGGCCCTCACTATGGGGAACCATACCTCTAGGCAGGACTGGGGCAGACAAACAGAGAGGCCCACCCCACCTCTCCCCCAGGAGAGGAGATCCCTCTGCTCCCCTCAGTAACAAGTTCAACAGACCTCCTTTGTGGGGAAGCTGACTGCTTCAATGCCAGTGGAATTAAAGACTGCTTACACCTTAAATTTAACTGAGGAACAGGGAGAGGGCATTGATGGATTCCACAGCTACCCTCACCCTCTCTCAGATTTCACATAGCCTTTGTTTGCACCCCTCTGATTCGCTTCAGCAATATTTTATATTTATTATTCACTCAGTAAACATTAAGTATCTGCTGTGTGCAGAGAACTCCTAAAGGCCCAGGGCAGAGATGATTTAAACTGAGTCAGTTAATACACCATGGCTTCCTGACTCACCCAACAGCTAATGCACTTCCTCCCCAAACTATCTCACATTCATTTTGTTTACATTATGTGTTGGTGCATACACACACGTGCATATACATGTACATATGTGTGTGTATGTGTACATATGTGTTTGTGTAAATATACATATTGACTTCTATGTGTACACGTGTCCCCTTTCATGTTAGAATATAAGATCCTCGAAAGACAAGAACTTTACTTTTTCCTCGTAAACTCAGCACCTTGAACAGTGCCTAAATAAATGCTTGTTTACAGATCACAGCCTATCCTTGCTAGACTGTAAGTTTCCTGAGGGTAGATGCTATGTTTTAGCTAAATTTAGCTTCTCCTCCATGACTTAGCCAGCTTTTCACCTGCACACAGTAGGCGTTTAGTTAAATGTTCGCTGGATTGAATGGAACTGAGCCTTCTCTTTACCAGCAAACACTCAATTCCTTTGGCCTTTCCTCATGCTGGGGTTCTATTTTGCAACACCTTGGGTCATCCTCACTGCCCTTTTCCAGTCCCTCTCTAGATCAATTCCAGAGGATAGAGAGAGTGGGGTGGGATGGGGAAGTCTCCCCATGGAGGAGTAGGGATGCAGAAAGCAAGGTACCTGCTCATGATTATGATATGAAAAAATAGCTAAGTCCTGATGAGTGCAAATAACCAACCCATGGCGGTCAGATAGTTGCATTGTTTGAATTTTCACTGTGTATTTGCATTGGGCTGGAACCAACAGCCATATTTCATATATTATTATCACTTTAAATAGTGTGAATTTGGATACATGTTATCATTTCAGGGGAGTCATAAATTTACACTAATTCAGGACTTAGCTGCATAAATGCCAGCTATTTTTATTATTATTATTGTTATTATTATTATTATTCCAACTACTCACCATTCTCTGCATGTTGGCAGCTGGCGGGTGGACTTTGCTCCGAAGTCTGTTGTGCAGGGCCAGAAGCAAGAAACTTTCCTTCAAGCTCAGAGCTGGGATGGGCAGTGGTGGAGCAAAGGGAGACAGACAGGCCAGAATCAGTCAAGGATGCAGGGAGGCCAGTTCAAAGCCCGGGGCCCAGCAGGTCTCCTAGAGCAGCAGGGCCTCCACACTTGTCTCCCAGATTGCAACAGGAGGCAGGCAGATCTCCATGGTGATGGGGAAGGGGGAGACAGAGAGGAGGAAGGGGTGGGGAAGAGAAATCTCTCATTGGAAGCAGGACACAAAGGGATGGAGACGGAGACAGAGAGGGGGGGCAGGGGCTGAGGCCACAATGGCTTTTCTTTCTTGGGGAGCATTTGGGGATGGCAGAGGGGAATGGGTCAGAAGAAATCGGGCATGTCATCCCCAAGGACCTGAGGAATGCCTGGAAGGGATATAGGAAAGCCCAAAAGACTGTCCATGTGAGGACCCATAGGCAGGAAGAAAGAGATGCCAAGTAACTCCTGGAACCCCAAGGACACACAGCCAAACTGTGATGGGATTCTCAGTACCACTCCCTGCCCCTCCTCCCAGCCCTCACCCGGACCAGGGAGGCCCCATAGAAACAATCTAGGAAGCAAGGAAGAGGAAGAATCCAAGCTGCAGGCCAGGGAGATGGTAGGAATGCTGCAAGATTAAGGGACCCAGCGTCGGAACATATGGAATCCCCCAACCCCAACTCCCCAGAAATTTGCATATAGAGGGATCTGATTTGCATAAGGTTTGCATAGATTTGGTTGATTGTTCCCTGGCAAGCTTCAAGTGGGGAAAAATACTGGATTTACAGTGTGTTTGAATCCTGGCTTTTTCACCTCTGTGACTTTGGGGAAGTCACTTAATCTTGGAGCTCCAGCTTCCTCTGTAAAATGGGAGAGGGGGTGGGTCAGCCCTCTAACTCCAAAGCTGTGACCCCATGAATTGAAATGTTTCTGCCTCCACCACCCCAACCCACGTCCCGGTTTTTCTCTTTTTGGACCATCCCCTTGCACCTGGAGGGAGCGTGGAAACAGCCCCCTCCAGGGGGAGAGGGACCCTTGAAAGCTGAGTCTTCAGCCCTCAGTGGAGGGCCACTCCCCCCCCTTCTTGTCTCCCCTTGAGCCCTGGGGTCTGTCCTGGTCTTTTGGCTCTTCAATTTGGGTCAGAAAGCCAACCTGAATGAAGCCCAGCCTTGGAATGGGTTGAAGTGCCTCTGGGCTTGAGAGGCCAGAGGACAAAGTATCTGGTGGTCACTCAGAGCACAGCCGAGAGAAGAGGGGGTGGGCCATCACCCTGTCCTGATCCCTGCTGGACCCTCTGGCCTCCAACCTCCACTGATCATTCAGGGCTCTGCTTACCACTGTCAGGGAAATCCCATGAAGCGGTCTCCAGAGGATCAGCCTCGTGCCCTGGGAAGGAGAGGGGGCTCTCTCTGTTCCCTGCATCCCATCCTGTGGGGCCTGCAACATCTCCCACCCTCTTTCTCCACAGACCAGACTTCCAAAGATCCCATACCTCCCTTCTTCCCAACCCCCATTACCTTGATATGGAGGAACCTCCTTTTGCAGTTGGGGCATTTGGATTTCTGCCCAGGTAACGTGAAGGAAACTCAGGAGCAAGGTCAGGAGACTTTGGCACAACCCCCATGGTCCCTGCATGTAGGGCAGCTTCCACTTGGGCACTGGACGTGTTGGTACAGGGCTGGGCAGAGCAGGACAGTGAGAGAGTCACTGGGGCTCTGAGCTATTCCCGTCTCTGTTCTCTTGTCCTCTTTCCCAGAGCAGGTTCCCAAGCACTAACGTCTATTCAAAACTTTAAACAGTCTGGGCTGGGCAAGGAGAGACAAAAGGGAGAGACTGTTGAGTAATCACTCTGTCCAGACAGCCCTGCTCTGTCCAAATAGTTGCTGGCTTCTTGAAAGGAGATAGGCAAAATCGAGACAGATAGAGCCTGCGAAAACCCCTCTGTCCTCCCTGCCTGTCCACCCAGCCCAGTGTGCACTGACCCGGCCCCTGCTAATCACTGGAGCGTTATTAGAATGCTGGGGAGTCCCAGAGGCCCCTGCTGATTGGTTACAAGACATTCCAAGGCAGCGGATTAATGAATGGATGGCGGGGCTAGGGGGTGCTTGCTACGGCATCTGAGCCCATTCACCAGTTCCTGCCAGGGGGCACCCCTTAAACTTCCCCCCCAAGTCAAAAAGAAGAATATTGGAAATTAGGAGAGCCAGTTATGGTGGGAGACTGGAAGAACTGGGCAAGACCCCAAGGGAGTTCTTCTCTTTCCCAGGAAGCTCGCCCCAACCTTGCCATGAATTAAACATGGGCAGAAGGTAACAGCACACCGCGTGCCATCTGAAAGGGGCAGGCAGCTCCCCTCCCAAGGCTGGAAGAACCTAGCTCCTGGGAGGGCTGGGAAGGGAATGTTGGGGGTAGGGGGAAGGTAACAATACAAGGAGAACGGGGCAGAGGGGAGCAAGGTCAGGATTGTACTGGTGCCAAGGGGCATCCGAGGCGGGAGCAGAGGGGCTGCCTCAGCCCTCACCTGAATCTAGGTTGTCGAGTCCACAGAGGAAGGGAGCTGGATCCCAGCCCAACTCCGTGGTATAATGCCCCTGGGAAATTTCAGAGAAATCCCATGAAGCAGTTCCTAGGGGATCAAACCCATGCCCTAGGAAGGAGAGGGGACTCTCTCTGGTCCCTGCATCCTATACTGAGCTGGCAAGAAAAAAGTCTGGGTTAAGAGGAACAGAAAGAAAAGACAAGTAAAGTCAGGGCTGAGTCCAACAAAGAGCTATTTCAGGCACCACTGCACTGAGCCAGGCTGGATGGCCGTGTTTCCTTGGTGCTTCTAGGTTCTGGGGACAGATGACCCAGGGGATGTTGGTGGGGTAGAAGGGACCCTTGGGCCCTATCGGCCCCAGGCCACAAATCCCCTCTGGGCTAGTCCAACCCTAGGGGGATTGCTTTCAAATGAGATGCTACTTGTCAAGGGTTCAGCTCAGTGCCTGGCACGTGGAATGGACTTAATAAATGCTTGTCACTTCCCTCCCTTCCCCTTTCTGGGGCCCAAAATATCGGTGCGGGACAGCCCAATTACAGTGGGAGGTAGGCTTTTCCCTGCATTTTTCTTCCCACAGGGAGGTTGATCAATGATTTGCCTTGCAGGGTTGCCAGCAAGGACTCCTGGCTCACAGCTCTCTGCTCTGTAGGGGCAGGGCAGTGCGGAGAAGAAGAGAGAAGAGGGTGTCTGGGTGTCTGAGTGTCTGTCTGTGCATGTTCAAGGACAGACGCGGTAGATTGGACATCCGTGCTGCAGCAGTCAGACCAAGCCAGGCACAGACACCTTTGCCACTAAGTAACAGGAAAGTGGCTTCTTTCCCCAATCGTTTTTAGCTCCTGGCATGGTCAGGATTTAATACTCTTTACCCCTCCAAAATTCTTTCATATTAATTACCAAAACTACTTAAAAGCCCTTTTGAGATCTTGTGGCCCTTATGACATTTTTGAATGAAATTTATGGTTTCATTCTATTCAGAGTAACATAATTTCTAATAGGAAATTATATTGGAGATTTCTGCATCACTGTCCAAAGAGACACTTGCTCCTCCATTCACCTGGAGCCTAGGAGAAGCGGTGAAGTCTGAGGACCTGGGTTCAAATGCTGATTCCGACACACTCACTTACCTCCCTGGACCTTCTGCTTTATCTCAAAAATGATGGATCTGAGCTCACCTAAGGTCCCTTCCCGTTCTGAATCTAGGACCTGCTGACCTCGTGGCTCAGAACTGGAGAGGACCAGCACCAGGTGGATGTCCCAGGGAGATGCTTGCCCTCCTACCTCTCACCACCAGAGAGCACTGCTCCCTTTCTGACAGAGAAGTGGGCATTGCCTGCATTTCCCCACTGGGTGTGAATGGGTGATTCTTTCCCTTTGAATGGGCACAGTGTGCGGGGCTGGGCAGACTTGGCAGAAGCTCCGGCCTCAAACCTCTCACCCAGTCCCTTGCCAACTCCTCTCCCTTCCAGGCTGACAGGCCCAGGCCCAGATCACCGGGGGCCCCAGATGCTAATGACCCTTTCTAGGGCAATGTTCCTCCACATCAGGGCTCTCGGGAACAAGCAGAAGGTAAAAGCATCACAGCATCCTGAAGTCTCAGCGTCAGAAGGAACCTCCATCCCTAGCTACTCCAACCCACACCTCAGTCAGTCAGTCAGTCAGTTAAGCATTTATTAGCCCCCCCCAAAAAAAACCATTTATGAAGTGCTTACTGCATACTAGGCACTGGTATACAAAGAAAAAGCAAAGAATACAAAGAAAAGCAAAAACAGTTCCTGCCATCAAGGAGTTTACAATCTAATGGGCCATACAGGACATAAGCAACTATATGCACACAAGATACATACAGAAGAGATGGCAGTGAGGCAGGAGCGAGTGGGGGGCCAGAATTGGGACAAAGTACAAATGCTGAAAAGCAGAAGAGGGCAAGATGAAACCAGGATTTCTTCTTTGTCACCATCACCTTGTATGTACGTGTTGTCTTCCCTAATCATAATACCAATAGCATTTTGAGGTTTGTATTATCTTATTTGACACTCACAACGCTGCGGGGCAGATTGAAATAGGACAAGTCACCTGGCCGGGGTCATGTAGCTACTGGGTGTTTGAAGTGGGATTTGAACTTGAGTCCTTTCTGACTGCAAATCCAGCGCTCTATACACTGACCCACTGAGCTGCCCAATTGAGAGCAGGAATTGGTTTGTGCTGTCTGTGTATGCCTAGCCCCTAATTATCCCTCTGAGTAGGGAGGGGAGGAACTTGGTGAGAACTCTGCATCAGGAAGATGGTTGGGCTATTCTCTGTCCTGGCTGGCGGAGGAAAGAACACTGGCCTGAGAGCCGGGAGGTGGAGAGCCCAGCCGATGACCAGACCTGTCGGTAGGGTCCCAGCGATTCCTCTTTCTGCTCAAATTCCCTACGGCATCCCCTCAGATTTTCTTCCCCACATGGGAATGTTCCGCGACTGCCTCCCAATGGGTGGCTTCCATTAAAAGCCTCTACAGACATTCTGTGGCACTGCCTTGCTGGCGGAGGGAGGGGAAGGATTCCATCCCCTTACACACCATTCCTACGCCAGCCCCACGTCCTGCGCCTCCACCTTTTGGGGTGCCTGGGGTCCTTCTCATTTTCTTCCTTCTCTGAGCTCAGTCCACTCCTCACTCACTCAGCACACCCGGACTTGAATATTGTTAGTTCTCAGGTCCCCTAGATTGTCATTTTTTGTATTCTCCACAGAGCTTGGCTTGGGGTGCTGCGCATAGTAGGACTCCGTAAGCATGTGCTGATGGATGAGAACAACCTCAAGGATCTCTCCCTCCCTTCTCCATCCTCACAGCTGCAGGAGCAAGGGCCTGGTGCCAGGCCAGGGACTCGGGGAGAGGCCTATAATCCAAACAAGCTTGCGGGCTCTCTGCTCTCTGCCTCACCTTCTCCCTCGATGCAGGCAGGAAGAAGAAAGAGAGGACAAGTTTCTGGGGTGGTGGGGGAGAAAATTCAGGGTCCAAAATACACACATACTACAGAAGGCTCCCAGGCCCCTTGGAGTCTGGCCTGCCCACAAGCCCCTCCCTTACAGGCAGATCTCTGGTGGTAGGTGGGGGGACCCTGGAGGGGGAAGGCGGCAGCTCCTCCCCAGCCCCGCCCCCTCAAGTTGGAAAGTCAGAGTGAGAGGTGGCAACGTCCTTCAGACCAGACCGAAGGACCAGCCAGCCAGCAGGAGGGGACAGCACGAGGGACCCCAGGTCATAGCTGTGCCCCCAGGCAGGATACAGCCTGGCTCACCACAGTAAGTTGTTTGGGAGAGGGAGGGATCTTGGGGGAGGAGTGCCTGGGAATCTGGGACCCCTAGGGTGTGAAATGAATGTGCTCCAAGGCTCTGGTCCTGGGGAAGCCCAGCCTGAGGGAGACACCTCCCCAGACCCCATGAGACTGCAGCCAGCAGGATGGCTGTTCAGACAGGGCTGGAAGATGCCCATTTTGGAGACTGGCCAGGGACACCCCAGAGGAGACGCCTCCAGGAGGCAGAACAGAAGGAGTTGCCAGCGCTAGGAGAGGGCAGTGGATTTCAATCTTCCCTGAGGGAAGCTCTCTACAGCCAGTGACCATCTCCTTACCGCAGATATTCAGAGGGCTGCTCTGACTGGTCCTGGGGAGACGATTCCAAGGTTGGCTACGCTCCCCACCCTACCCCACCTCCAAACTCCCTTCCCTTTCCCCATCTCCTGCCAGTAAGGGGCAGCCTTCTGGGCTTCCGAAATGAAGTAAGAAAATCAGAGCTCTGGGAGAAGGCTCCAATTGACCCACACCCTCATGCAGTACCCCCAACGATGCTCTGGGGCCGGGTGCCCTCTCTTCTCCTCTCCTCCAGGCTGCCTAGACCCTGGCCCTCACACCGAACCTCTCCAGCCACAATGTTGTTTGGGTTGCTGTTTCTCACGGCCCTGAGCCTCCTGCAGATCCCTCTCAGTGATGGGCAGGTAAGGGGAGTCCCTTCACTCCCTTCACCCCAAGACTTCTCATCAATCCTCCCCTTGGGGAATAATCAGGCAGCAGCACCTAGGGCTAGGCAGATCCCGCCCAAAGGCGCACATCCTGGACTGAAAGATAAACATACCCATTTCCCAAATGGTGAAATCAGGGCAAATCTGGAATTTGATCAGACTCTTTTCCAATTGTCTCTGATACCTTTTGTCCTGAAAGGTTAAATGAACATTCATGCATTTATCCCTCTTTGACAATAATAATATTAATAATAATAGCCAGCACTTACATGGCACCTCAACATTCACAAAGTATTTTACGCATTATCTCATTCGGTCCTAATGATGACCCTATGAGGCAGGTGCTATGATTATTCCCATTTTACAGATGAGGAAAATAAAAGTAGGAGAAAATAAAAGTAGGGGGAAAAAAGTGACTTGCCCAGGGCCACACAGCTCAGGAGTGTCTGAGGCAGGTTCAAACTCAGATCTTCTTGAGTCCCAAGTCCCATGCTCTATCCACTATAGTAGCATCTGTCCTGAGGCACAATGTAAGTCAACTATGTAACATGATGTGCAAAATGAGGAAAATCTGCTGTCCTCTGCTCTGGAAGGTCACAACCGGAATATTTGGCCCTCAGTGGCACATTTTAGGAAAGCTATGGACTTCATTGAGAATCTTCCCAGATGGTCGTGTCTCCAGGGGAGGTTAACCAGAATAGAGAGGGGCTGCAGGCCATGCTCTACAAGGATTGGTTGAAGGAACCTGGAGTCAGAGAACCCCATTTTAGAGATGAAGAAAGTGAGGCAGAGGATAAGTGACTCGTCAGAGACAGCTAGGAAGAGTCTGAGGCTAGATTTCAACTCAAGTCTTGTAGACTCCAGGTCCAGTATTCTATGTAATTGGCATCCTCTAGCTGTTTCTTGCTCTCTGGGCTCAGTTTCCTCATTTGTAAAATGAGGGGAATGGACCAGATGATTTCTAAGGACCCTCCAGACCCTCTGACCCAGACAGAAGGCTGGGAAGAGGGGCTCGCTCTGTGTTGTTTGACCCCAGAGGACTGGGGAACTCTGGGAAGGGAGGGGCTTGGGGGCAAGTTAGGAGCAGAGGGGCAGGGTTTTGTCCCATGTGGGGAGAAGCTTTGGAACCCTTTCAGCTGCCCACAAATGGGAGGCACTGCCTTGGCTCAGAGGAGCAGGCTCCCCATCAGAGACCTCTAGACGTCTATGATCCTTCCCAGAGGGCAGATGGTGGGTTCTGAGTCCCTCTTCCTACCTTCCATCCTCCAGGGCTGCCTGAGCAAGCGATCAGTGCTGGCCACCATCCGCCAGATGCAGAAACTGCTGTCCACCCAGGAAGCTGCCCAGCTGCAGGGCCTGCGCGGCCTTAGGAAGCAGCTCACCATGCTCCAGGGGAACGTCCACAAACAGGCCACACGGAGGAATGGTAACCACGGAGGCTTGGCCCTGCTCTGGGAGGCAGCTGCTCAGGGACTGGGGCAGCCCTCAGACTGGCCCGTGACGGGCCTTTGGTTTCCAGGGCAGACTGGGAGCCCTGGTTGGTGCTAGGGGCTGGGTGAACCCATCCTACCTGCTCAGGTATCAGGACCCAAAATGCATTTTTTTGGCCGACACCATTCACATGGAACTCAGTACCAGTGGGGCCGTTGGGGTGCAGAGGTAAGTGGGTGGAAGAGAGACTGCCTCCCCTTCAGGTAAGCTGCTGCCCAGGGACTAGAGGTACCTGGAGGGTGACCTTGGGGAAGTCAGCCCTGTTCTTTGGACCTCAGTTTCATCATCTGTAAAGTGAGTGGGGGGAACTGGCTTGGATGACCTTTACGGTCAGTCACAGCTTTGAAATCCCACGATCCTCTGATTTGGCCAGACAAGCTTCCCATAAAGCACGCCTCCAGTCTGTTCTGATTTTCCTCTAGCAAGAACTCTTAAAATTGAGAAAACAAGGATTTCCTCGCCCTCTGCCGGTATTTAGTCCCCTCCCCGGCCCCTCACACCTGCCCACACGTTCCTCCATGTGCTTTGCCAGAGGAATCACAACATTGGAGCTTAGGATGGTCCTTCGAAGTCAATGAGTCAATCCCCACCATTGTACAGGTGAGAGGTTATGTGACTAGCTTAGGGTCACATAATTAGTAAGGGTCTGAAGTGGGCTCCAAACCTGGGACCTTGGCCCTTCAGAACCAAGCACCCTCTGCAAGGGTCAGGCGAAGCAAAGCTTGGACAGGAACTATTTTAATAGCCTCTCCAACCTAGCAGAGTGATTTCTGGATTTTGGGTCGTCACTTGGGTTTGAACCCTAACTGTGGGATCCTGGGTAAATCATATCCCGGGTAAGTGCCTCAGTTTTGTCATCTGTAAAATGGGATGGTACATACGCGATAGCTTGACTCATCAGGTTGCTGGGAGAAGCGTCAGCCATAAAGCATTGCATAAATGTGAATTATTTTTATTTTCCCCTCACCCCAGAGACATGCCCCCATCTGGCTATGCCAACACACGGCAGGAAGCTAGGGAAGAAAGTGGGCATAGGGCACGAGGTGCATTTCCTGTGCAATGCTGGCTTCCAGCTGGTGGGCTCAGAGACTCGACTGTGTCAGGAGAACCGAACGTGGAGCGGACAGCAGCCCTTTTGCAAGAGTAACGTATTCATAGCACTAAGGAATGGGCAGGTGTGTTGGAAGGCAGTGGAGGGGGTCGCCATGGGGCAGAGGAATGCTGGAGAATGCTTGGGCTGTGAAGGGAGCAGAGGCTCCCAGTCCAAAATGCTGGATCTGATCCAGGCTCTTGGTTTGGCCCCAGTGAAGTGGCTCCAGATGATCACACCCCCCACCCCGATCCCCAGGTGCCAGGCACAGATCTGTCCCTCCAGGTCCCTACCACTTCAGTATCCCAGAACCAAATCAGACTTCAGGGATCAGTTAGGGGGAGGGGGTACCAACTGCTCCCTGGGGCAGGACCAGGCATGAGATGAAGGATCCCCTGGCCCCCAGGTATTGATGACTGTGCCAGCCAGCCCTGCACCAATGGGGGCACCTGTATGGATGACGTGCAGCGATACATCTGCCTCTGTCCAAGTGGCTGGACTGGAAACAACTGCCAGACGCCAGCCACCTCCTGTGAGTGCCCCACCTCCCCTGCACCTGTGGGACCATCCCCAGGGAACCAGCTCACTTCCACCCTCCAAGAGGGGACAAGAAGCAGCTCCTGTCTCCTCGAGGCAATGCTATTATTGATACCTGGGCTGAGAGGAAAGAGAGATCAGGCCCCACAATGGGCCATTTGAGGGGGAACTGAGAAAGTACGGGGGAGGCAGGCAGACCAGGAAGGGATTCTCCTATGTTTAGCCATCCAACAGGGACTGGCTGAGGGTCTCCCATGTGCCTGGTCTGGTGCTAAATACCACAGGGGAGTCTAAGAAGACACAGCACAGGACCCTGGCCTGAAGAAACCTGGGCATCTAACCACATGGACAAACACCCCTTACCCTAATCTCTAGAATCTCTGCCTCGAATTACAGCACACCATATTCCTAGGCCATCCCCCTGCTGAGCTCTCTGACCCTCAGCATCTTCCTCTTCAAGTATAATACTCCGCTGGGAGTATCATACAACTAGGAAGACCTAGGTGGCTTGAGAGCTTGAATCTGGGGCCCTTTGGGCACCCTTCTCCCAAGGGCCCATGCCGAGCCCTTTTGGGCATCGTGCTTGGCCATTCAGAGCAGGGGGCCCTGGGGAGGCTGCCCTCTCTGACTGTGACCTCTTCTGCCTGCCCCCCAACCCCAACTCCTCACAGACTGGGTGTCCCTGAGCAACTCGTCCTTCAGCCGCCAGCCCCGCTGTGCCGAGAATGGGCAGGGTGCCCGGCAGTGCAGCTGTGACGTCGGCTTCCAGATGCGTGCCGGAGGCTTGTGTCAAGGTGAGGTTGGCCAAATACGCCCCTGGAGGACAGGCGCATCTCCTCAATGAGAGTAGAGAATTGGGGAGTCAGAGGACATTAGTCCTACAAAGGATGACCAAGTCTGTCATTTATAGAGAAAAAAAAATGAGTCCCCCGATGTGGGGCTGGCCCTTCAAATTATACCTTGGGGCTCTATCTCTTTCTTTCATACCTGTGCATGGGCAGATCCTCTGCTTGGAATGCCTCCTTCCTCATCTCCAGCTCTAGAATCCTTGACTTGTTGACTCCAGGTCTTGGAGAAAAGTTGTGAGGGCTCTGTCCTCTCAAATTATCATGTCTATACTTCTGTTGTATCCTTTCAGTAGAATGTAAGCATCTTGAAGGCAGGGAGTTCCCTATACCAATGAAGCCATAGGCCCAGCGCCTATCCCTCTGTGTCCCCACCATCTGGAGTGTCCTCCAGATTTATTCTTGCTCGAGTGGATTACTGGGACTGGATCCTGGGTCCCCAGGTTTCCCCAGCCTAATATGCCCTCCTCTGGATCATCACTCCCTGGGAGGCCTGGGAGAGGGAGAAGGGAATGGAGGAGCTAAGCTTTGTATAGGGTTCTAGACAAAGGACCCATCCATGTCCTATCTCTTCTAGCCAGGATCTTGGAGACCCATGGCTCTGAGCAATGGGATGTAGTGGAAAGAGCCCTGAAGAGTCCCAGGACCTTGGTTCAAATCTCAGCTCTGCTACTTACTGAGTGACCTTGGATAACTCAGTGTCTCTGGGCTGCAGCTCCTCATTTTTTAAATGGAAGAGGTTGGACTCTAGTCCAACTAAGGTCCTTTCCAGCTTTAGAGCCTCTGATGTGACCAGCCACAGGGAGGCTTCAGTCTCGTGGGAGGGGGTGGGAAGGAAGGAGGGTGCTCTTAGGCTGTCTCATCACCCGACCCTCTGCTGCTCACCTTCTCAGATGTCGATGAGTGTCAGATGTTCCAGCTGAACCACCAGAACAGAATCTGTGTCCACAGCTGCGTCAACCTGCCTGGGTCCTACCGTTGTATCTGCCCTCCAGGCTACCTGCTCAACCCTGACCAAAACACATGTGAAGGTGGGCACTTCTGTCCAGCTGCCACTCTCCTGCCCAAGGGATACTGGAGCAGGATGGGAGGTGGGGGGAGAGCACTCTTGACCTTCAGGCACCTCCTCTATGGGAGCCTTGTTTCATTATAACTTGCCCTCTGTGCCATCTCCTTCCCGTCTCTCCTCTCATTCCTTGTTCTATAGGGTAATCTTGCATATCACATGGTACACTCTAACTCTCCTTAGGGCTCAGACAGTCTCTTGTTGGCCTTCCCCATATCCCAAGGAGTTTGGTAATGATTTCCATGCTCCCCATGCCCCAGAAGAGGAAACAGAGATGAGGGGGTGGGTGTGGCACCAAGTGAGCCAGGACAAGAACTCAGGCGTCTTAGTTCCTGCTCTGAGACCTCTCCCCTTGCCCCTGTGAATTCTCCTTGGACACAAGAAAAGCCTGAGCTGGGAAAGTCAGACTCCCAGCCCAGCCTTTGCTGAGAAGGATCAGAAGGTCCTGTTTGGAGATCCAGCCCGTCCAGCAGGCCTGGGTTATCCTGAGGGTCACTGGAAGATAGATTTAGAGCTAGAAGGGACTGTAGAGGGCCCTCATCTTACAGATGAGGAAACTGGAGACCAGCAAGATCAAATGACTTGTCCAAAGTCACACAGCAGCAAGTGGCAGAGTCAGGATTCAAACCCAGATCCTTGGATATCAAAATTCAGAGCTCTTTCCACTGTACCATGCTTCTTCCTATCTTCTCTTGTCCTGCCTCTATAAGCCCAAGACTGAAGGATCCTCTGTGTGTCTGTGTGTGTGTCTGTGTCTGTGTGTCTGTGTGTCTGTGTGTAGTGTGACAGACAGAGAAAGAGATGAGGGAGAGAAGGGGAGAGAAAGAAGAGAGACAGAGAGAAGAGAGAGAGAGAGAAGAGAGACAGAGAGAAGAGAGGCAGAGAGAGAGAGAGAGAGAGAGAGAGAAAGAGAGAGAGAGGGAAAGGGAGAGAAAGGAGAGAGACAGAGAGAAGAGAGACAGAGAGAAGAGAGGCAGAGACAGAGAGAGAGACAGAGAAAGAGAGAGAGAGGGAAAGGGAGAGAAAGAAGAGAGACAGAGAAGAGACAGAGAGACAGAGAGAAGAGAGACAGAGAGAGGGGTGAAAGGGGTGAGACAGATGTTTGTCTTGCCTTTGCCAGATGTGGATGAGTGTGCAGACCAGCAGCACAACTGTAGCCGAGGCGAGCTGTGCATCAACGTCTTTGGGGGCTTCCAGTGTGTGCGGCCAGAATGTCCCCGGCCCCGGCACAACGCCAGCTACGTGAAGACATCAGCCTTGTGAGTGACTTCCTGAGCCTTTTGGTCTCGCTCCCCCTCTCCCCCTCTCCCACTTCCCACACCCCCTTCCCCCTCCCCCCACCGCCCCCCATCCCTCCGCTCCCTGCCCCAGCTTTACTCTCTCGGGAGGAGCCCATTAGGCAAGTCAAGTCGAGAAGCCATTTACTAAGTCTTACTACGCACGTGGCACTGTGCTAAGCACTGGGGATACAAGGAAAAAGGGGTGGGGGGAAGGTCCCTGTTCTCAAGGAGCTTACACTCTAACAGGAGAAACACCATGTTGAAAACACAGATACCAACAGGCTACATACAGGATAAAGTGGAGACAATCTGAGCGGGAAAGCACTAGCATTACGGGGGCCCCGGGGAAGAATCTTGCAGAAGGTGGGCTTTTAGCTGGGACTTGGAGAAAGCCAGGAAAGCCAGGAGATGAAGAGAATGACTTCCAGGCATGGGGACCACTGGCAAAGACGAATCGAGTTGGGACACCTTGTGTGAGGAGCAGAGAGGCGGCCAGTGTTACGGGGTCACTCTGTGGGGTGGAGAGGAATTAAAGCTGTCAGAGGACTAGAAAGGCTTAGAACAGCCTTTAGAAGCCCAACAGAGGGTTTCTATTTAATCCTGGAAGTAATAGGGAGCCAGGTCAGCAGGCCCCAGGGCATCTCTCCTTTCCTCTCTCCTATACTGACCAGCATCTAAATGCATTCACCTGGGGACAGCTACCAATTCTCAGGCCTCTGAAGCTGAGAGCCTAGTTTTCCTTAAGAGGCACCGTCAAGTCTAACACTCCCAACCCTGGTGGCCCCCAGACAGCTAAAGCCCCCATTAGGTTGCACTGTGAGCTGCTAGGGAGCAAAGTAGATAGCTTTCAATAGACCTGGAGTCAGAAAGACCTGAGTTCAAATTTGGCCTCAAATACTTACTAGCTGTGTGACCCTGGGCAAGTCACTTAACTTAAGTTTCCTCAACAGTAAAATGAGGATAATAATAGCACTTACCTCCCAGGGTTATTTTCATTTGTTAAAATCCTACTAAGTGCCAGGATACAAAGAAAGGTGAAGATAAAATGAGGTATTTATAAAGCACTTTGCAAACCTTAAAGGCTAGCATACATGCTAGGTAGTTATTGCCATGGAGACGGGAGGCAGGAGCCCTTTGGGGCCAAGCAGGCTGCCCCCATCCCCCCTGGGACCCCTAGACTCCCAGGAAGGAGGCCCTCAGCCTCTCCCTCTCCCCCCGCCCTCCTCCAGCCAGTGCGAGCGGAACCCGTGTCCCGTGGACAGCCAGGCCTGCCGCCAGGCGGCCAACTCCATCTCCTTCCACTACCTGCCGCTGCCGTCCAACCGCACGGTGCCCCGCGTGCTCTTCAGGATGTCCACCACGCGCTTCCTTGGAGACAGCCTGCGCTTTGCCATCACGGGTGGCCGGGGCCTCGGGGCCTTCGCGGTACAGCGCTCAGACCGGCACACGGGCGAGCTGGTGCTGACCAGCCCCGTGCCGGGCCCTGCCACGCTGGAGGTGCAGCTGGAGATGAGCGAGCTCTCCAAGAAGGTTCTGCTGGGCAAGCACGTCTTCAGGATCACCGCTTTCATCTCCCCCTATGAGTTCTAGCTCATTGGTGGTGGGGGCCCCCCCTGGGTGTCCGCAGCTGCTTCATGATAGGGCTGGGGCTGAGACCCACAGCCAGAAGCAGCACTGCTGCTCTTGTGTCCTTCCTCTGCCACAATCCACAGTGCTGGGATGCTAGGGAGGGTAGGGGAAAGACCAACAACCATGACCTGGGGGTCAGAACACCTGGGTTCTGGTCCTCACTCTGCCATTTGTGACATGTACGAGCCTGAGCAAGTCACTTCCCCTACCCTGGGTCTCAGTTTCCCCATCTGTAGTATTACACAAGATTAGGTCCCTTTTGCTTCTAAGAAAATAAAACCTAAAATAATTCAATATCAAGCTCTACAGAAGAAATGTGATTGGCTTCCCTCATCACCCCCACCTCCCCACCCACCCAAAGCACACCAAGAAAACCTAGCCTCCAGGCCATTAGGGGGTCTGGTGGTAAACACCAATTCTTTGTGAAAATAGACTGAGAGGTGGATAGAGCACCAGCCCTGAGGTCAGGAGGACCTGAGTTCAAATCCAGCCTCAGACCAAACACTTGACACCACTTACTAGCTCTGTGGCCCTGGGCAAGTCACTTAACCCCAACTGCAAGAGAGAGAGAGCGAGAGAGAGAGAGAGAGAGAGAGAGAGACAGAGAGAGAGAGAGAGAGACAGAGAGAGAGAGAGAGAGAGAGAGAGAGAGAGAGAGAGAGAGAAAGAGAGAGAGAGAGAGACAGAGAGAGAGAGACAGAGAGAGACAGAGAGACAGAGAGAGAGACAGAGAGAGAGACAGAGAGAGAGAGAGAGACAGAGAGAGAGAGAGAGACAGAAAGAAAGAAAGAAAGAAAGAAAGAAAGAAAGAAAGAAAGAAAGAAAGAAAGAAAGAAAGAAAGAAAGAAAGAAAACAGACTGAGAGGCCTGGAGGAACCCACTGGCTTGTTACCTCTAACCCCCAAAGACACAACCCCAGAGTTAGGAGGATGTCTGACCTATGCATCTGCTACTATGGAGACTAAAAGCCCCTGGGACAGTGACCAGAATCCCTTCTACCCATCCCAGGGAGCAAGGAGTCCAGCAACGTCATTCTGGCCTTCCCAGGCCAGGTCACAGAAGAAAAAGAGACGGGAGGCCGTACAGCCATCATTGGGAGTCAGTATGGCAGACATTGATGATTGCCTCCCACACCACCTAATGATTTCTCTCCTATGACACACAATACAGGATTATTCCCCATTCAGGTGCCTTTTCCCAGCAATCCTCATTATCTCCTACTGTTGTCCTTCCACATCTCTCTATACCCCCTCCCCAAACGAAGGTCTTATTACCTTGGGTACCCCACCTCCTGGGAGAGTGCTGGACTTTGACTCCGGAAGATGTGGGTTCAAATCCTGCTTCTAGCACTCACTAGCTGTTAGACCATGGATAAATCATGTAACCTCTCTGAGCCTCAGTCTTCTCAACTGTAAAATGAGGGAGGGTCATAATTCCTGTAAGGCCTACTTTACAGGGTTATCATGAGACTCATGAGATAATTCATGTAAAGTATTTTGCAAACCTTAAATCACTATGCAAACGCCAGTTCTCATTACCAGCATCATCCTCATCCTCCCTGTGTTTACAGGTGCAAATCCTGAGTCATTGTTCCCCTAACTCCAGAACTGATGCAGATACCTTGCGTGGCCCCAGTGCAGGGCATGCCAATACGGCCTCTGTAGGTCTCAGCCAATCCAATCTCAGCTCAATATTCCAGGGGAGCCCAGCGATTTCCCAAACTGTTTGGACACATGGACCGGACTGGCCCTGCCCTGTATTCTCATACCCCAGTCTGTCTTGTGCACCTGCCCCAGTGTCTGGGACCTGTGATTATCCCCACTGCAAAAACCTAGGAAATGCCCTTGTCCAGTTTATCTCACGCCTTTGTGGCCCAGGGCCACTTGTATGTTAGCATCCCATCATCCCTCTGCATCATGGAAGGGGAGGAAAGGAAAGATGACTCAAGCAAAGATCATTCTCCTTACTCCACAAAGGGAGAAACTGAGAACTAATGGGAAGGCGTGACTTCTCCAAGGTGATGTCCTTGGGTCTGGGATCTGGCCTCGCCTCACCTTTGCCACCCACACAGACAGCCTCTTTCTGGCACCAGTCAGGGCCAGGATATTTCCTCAAACCTGTCCACATCCCCTGAGGCTAAGGAGGGAAATGGAGTCCCAAGGAAGAGTCGTGGAAATGATGCACGTAGCCTTGGGAAACCCAGCCACTATGGGAAGGTTCAGGTAGCTTCTGTCATTTGTTCATTTGGTTCAATCCCACATTCTCTCATGCTGCTCTGGCAAGGAAGCGAAGCCCACCCCAAGCCCTGGACCCTGCCCCCCCAGCTCCCAACCTCCTGTGTGTTTCAGATTCTAACAACGTCTTCCCATCTGTGGGCCAATGCTACGTCCCCTAACCCAGGCTGCCACATCTGAAATCCATCCATTACTCTTCGGAAGACAAAACCCACCACTCCTCCATCCTAGCCTAGACATGCATGTCTCTGGACTGATAGAACTGCTCCTGCCCCGTCCTTTTGAGTTGCTCAGTTCCAGGTCAGGGCAGGCTCTTCAGGGATCTCAGAGTCAGTCCAGAAGTATCTCCTGGCTATGTGTCTCTGCCTCCTTTTTGTTAGGCATGGGTCTTGTGGGCTCCCCAGCTTTCATATCCTGAATGAACTTCTCCATCTCACACATAAATTTCCATCCTGCCTGCTTCTTCTCACCTCCACCCACCAAACCATACTGAGCATCTAAAAGTCATTCAACGAGTATTAAACGCCTGTTATGTGCCAAGCACTATGCTGGGTGCTAAGATAAAGACAAAAGTGAAATTGTGCCTGCTATCAAGAAGTTTACATTTCATTAATTGAAATAACATATACACATACACACACGCACGTACATACATACACACATTCACATAGATAGACAGACATATCAAAAACACATTCAAAGCAGACAGAAGGTAATCTTAGAAGGGAAGGCTCTAGCATCTAGAGAGGCCTAGGGAAAGGCTCCTACAGAAGAAGACACTTGGGGCAGCTAGGTGGCATAGTGGACAGAGCACCGGCCCTGGATTCAGGAGGACCTGAGTTCAAATCCAGCCTCAGACACATAACACTTACCAGCTGTGTGACCCTGGGCAAGTCACTTAACCCCACTGCCTAACCCCCTCCCCCCCCAAAAAAAAGAGGAAGAAGAAGACATTTGATCTGAGTCTCAAAGGAAGTCAAGGATTCCAGGAGGCAGAGGTCCAGGAACCTTGAGAGCGAGGCAGCAGGGAGAGATGGTGTGAGTAGCCCTAAGAAGGAAGGCCAGTATCACAGGACCATGGAGAGAACAGAAAAGAAAGGAAGAGCCAGGGAGTAAAGGGCTTTAAACATCAAGCAGAGGAGCACATATTTGACCTTGGAAGTTAATAGGGAACCCCTGGAGGGTATTGAGCAGGGGAGGGACGTTGTCAGACCCGCACTTTAGGAAAATCACTTTGGCAGTTCTGTGAAGGATAAATTAGAATGGCGACATATTTGAGGCAGGGAGACCAAGGAAAGGACGATTGTATCTTGGTGGGTGGGTGCAAGATACAAGGGGGAATCTAGGTATGTGACAAAAGATATCAATAAAATCTATTACAAAAGGGATAAATAAAATTATTGCCAAAGAAAAATTACAAAAAAAAATTATTACTCCAGCAGCAATCCAGCCAAGAGGTGATGAAGGCTGAACTAAGGTGTGGTGACATGAGTGGAGGGAAGAGCACAGAGGAGAGACGTCACAGAGAAAGAACTCAGATTTGGCAACAATTTTGATATGTGGGATGAAGGAGAATGGGGATAGAGGATGATCCCAAGGTTATGGACCAGGGTCTGAGAGGATTGAAAGTCTCCAAGACAATAGCAGGCCTGCCCTGCCTGGCTCCTCGAATCTGCCTGGAGTCTTCCTCTCCCCACAAGCCCAGATGTGGAAACTGAATATTTGCCTGGGACCGGTGGCTGCCTCTACCACTCCCACCCCATGACTGGGCATCAGGCAGGCCGCTCTGCTCACCAGCTTCAACGTGGCCCTGAGGGCTCTTCTGTTCCTTCCTCCCACTAGGGTCCTCCAAAGGAACTTTTGCCCAAGGTTCCACTATAGTAATAATAATAATAATAAATATATTAGTATTTTGAGGTTTGCAAAATGCTTTACAAATATCTCATTTGATCGTCACAACCCCCATTTTACAGACAGGAAAACTGAGGCAGGCAGCGGTTAAGTGACTTGCTTAGGGTTATATAAGTATTTGAGGTCAGATGTGAATTCTGGTCTTGACTCTAGGTCTGGTGTTCTATCCACTGGGCCACCAATCTGTCTATACAGGCACCTGCCTACGTGTAGGCACTGGAGAGTCTAAGAGTCAGGCTTGACCCTGTCCATCCTCTGAACAGAAGTCTGATAGAGGATGGTCTTCCTTCACTACAGGATGAGGGAGACAGCAAGGGCATATCTACCCCATTTTTCACATCTCCTCGCTGCCGGAGCCTAACTAGAGCCGTCCTTATCCTCACCCCTCAATTCTCTATGGCCTTTGCAGTTCATAAAGGGTTTTTCTCTCTGTTCATTTAATCCTCACGACATTCCCATACAGTGGTTAGTGCCCCATTAGTGGGTACTAACACTTTCCATATCATGCCAATTGGATTCTGGATTTCAGGAGACAGACCCCGGGAATATCATTTATATTATGAATTATGTTAATGTCAAAACCCAGGATTTTGTGAGGACGTATGACAAGCCTGGTTCACAGCCACCAACGTCCCTTCTGTCCTCACTCTAGGCCATTCTCTGGCACACAACCAGCTTTTCAGTTCAATGTGACCAACATTTTTCCCAAGTATCTGTTTTGTGCTGGGCACTGTTCTAGGGACTGGGGACACAAGAATGAAGGTGACATGGTCCCTGTGCTCAAGAGATTTTCATTCTTTTGGAAGGAAGCCAAATGTATCCAATAAGGAAACACAATACAAAATTTTCTAGAAAGTAATGGAAAAATTAAAAAGATAATGGGGAGACATGAGTAACTGAGAGTAACAGGAAAGGCCTCCTAAGGCGATGGTACTTAAACTGAGCTTTGAAGGAAGCCAGAGATTCTAAAAGATGGTGGTGATGAGCCATTCCAGGGATAGGGCATTGCTTGGCAAAAAAAAATGGAGAAACCTATTGGTTCTAATTCTTACTTACAACATCACTAATGTGAAAATATGTTTAATAGGAATGTATACATGTAGCCT